GGGGATGGAGGAGGCGGTCCAGACGGTCTAGATCCTTTGTCATAATTGCAGCTTTGTTACCAAAACAGCTGAATTTTACAACATTTTCAGGATATACATGCGTATAATCTTGGATTTTTGGAAAATATACGGCAAGCAATGGGCCGACGATGGTTGTTGGCCCTATTTATCCCGTTCATTTCATCACCACTTGATTCGAACGGCCTCACCTATGTAACACGAGAATCGAAACCATTGAACGATATGAAAACGATGTGATTAATTGGCAGCGAAATTTTTGTGTTAACTTAATTTACGTTTTGATTCGCTTCAAGCTTTAATAAGTTTGCAGTTCTCTTTTTTTTTGAACTTTGCGTTATTTTGCTTACGTTCGACTTCGCCAGTGAATCCCTGTTCAACTTGTTTGATTCTTTTCTTTAATAATTTGTACTGGAATAGAGCTTTTTATGAGCTTGCTTCCAGGCGACTTTTGAAAGAGGGCGTCTTCGACAGCCTTGCCAACGTCTCCGTGCTGTTTGGCATTTGGGCCACTTCCGACTGTCTTCGCTTCTAATGATAAATGGATACGGGGGAGAGGGCGCGGGGGGGGGGAGAGAATTTAAAAAAAATTTTTTTTGAAATTTAAAAAAAAAATGTCCAATTTCTAAAGATCTGATAATTTTCGGTTGGACTAAAACGTACCAAGCTGCAAACTTTGACGTAATTGTACGCGCTGCACAAGCGTGCGCGACAGATGAATTTGAAATCTCTGGCTCGCACATGCACAGAGAATATTCCTGCAAAGTTTCAGCTTTGTACCTGAGTCGCTGATAAGTTTGGCAAACATCGCAAGGCTCTCAGACTTAAGTTGCTAATTCGACTTCCTTTACTTGAAAAATCAGTTTCTTTAGCATTCCTTAATTAGTCTCAGTAGTAAATTGGTACTGGCATACTTGTACGTCGAAGAAGCAGCTTCCTCCGGCTGACTTAACCCATCTCTATTCGTGTTATCCTTGACACTGGAAGACTATTACCAACTTGTTTTCTAAACATTTCGATCACGATGACCTTAGGCATCTTGCCATATAGCAGGTTTTTATGAAGAGCAAAATATAAAGGGTACTCTTTGTGCATGCATAATCAGCAAATGCATTTTTTTGTGTGTGTATTTTGATTTTAAATTGTTTTTTTGATATTTTGTGTTTTCATGTTTTCTAAATTTTTCTTGTAAATTCTACATTTATGTTGATTGTATTGATCCTGTAAAAAACTCCTGCTAGTCAGTGTTTAAACAGTACTTATCCCATTCTGAGCCATATATCTTTTCACATTGTAAGTTTGTATATATTGGCTGCAAGCTTAAATAAATACTTTTTGAGTTTTCCCGTTCAATTTGTCTGCATTTCTGCAAGATAGCCAACCCAATCCTTTTCAGCCTGCGTATCCGGAAAAAATGCTGGTGATGATCTGGGATATTTGGAGACTTTTGTCTTTTCTACAAATGGATAAGCTGGCTTAAAAAATGGTGCATATCATTTTCCCCGTTTAGGGGTAGAGTTTCCGTTCATTTTCGTCAATGGGCACGGGGATTCGCGCGTCGGAAAAGTTCTAGAAGTTGCTTGACAAAACCGGCACAGAAATCACATGAAAAGGGGTGAATTTTTGCTCGAACTTGCTAGAGTCATTAGTGATGAATTGCGGTCAGATTCGAGGCCTGCTCACTTTGAAATACAGTGGTGGTCAGGGACGCTTGGATGTTACCTGAATTTCTTGAATTTTTTGTTTTTTGGGTTTTATTTTTAGGTGAATAATATAAATAAGCTTAACTGAAAGCGCGCAAGCGTTGTCTCCCGAATCAGCAGATGCCAATTTCGCCGAGGGTGTCATCTTTCGTCGAAAGCTGATTTTGCAGGCGATCTGTTTTTCGACAGTATTTTTTCCTGGTTTTGGGTAGCAAAAATGGTATTCAGGAGAACTCAAAATTTTCATATGGGAGTTTATTCTCATCAGTATTTAATGTGAAATTCGGCATTCGATTATGACAGTGTGTTGCGAAGCTGTGAGGCGACCGGTACGTAAAAATGCAGCATATGCAGTAAATTTAGGACAATTAATGTGTACTGCATCGCGAGAAAAATGAAGGGTGTTTGCTTAAAACGAGTGATTGCCCGCGATGTTTATCAAGCAAGGGGAAGATGATGATTTCAAAATTTTTTTCTTTGTTTTTTTTAGCTGAAAACGATATAGTACCGAAGCAAATTAATGCCAAACCACTAGCAGTACTGAGTTTCGTGAGAGCAAGAGAAATTGAGATTCCAATCGACAAATGCATTTTTTTGATTGGCTAATTCGCCTAAAATCTCAGCTTTCAGCTGTTCTGGCTGCTGAGTTAGCAATTTTGCCGTCAAAACTTTCACGGGGCCGCACGTGACCTGGGGACATACCTGGAAGCTGGGTTTGAAGTCTTTATGTTGTACCTAGGTTGTGAACATCTTTTCTTGATCCTGAGTTAGCCGTTTTCCTCCTAAAAAATTTCACGGGGCGTGCGAGTACCATTTTAAGCTCTTAAACCTGACTTTAAGCTCTTAGACCTGTCTTTCTGTTGGCCCTATTTTTCTTTTTCATGGTGCTTACAATCAAAATTAAATTGTTGGGTTAAATTACTTTCTTATTGATTGCATCGAAACTTCTACTAATGGTATCTATTATTGTTGATTAAGTGCATCGAAATGAGGAACATGCAGTCGGGCGATCAGAAGCAGTTGGACAGCCAACTGAGTCGTGATCTCATCGATGACTTCTTTGATGAAGGACTGAAAAAAGCGATGAACAATCAGAAACAACTTGTGAAGGGAGAAATTAGCGAGGAAGAAAGAGGTTTTGCTTTTCTAAAAACTCGCATTTTTTGGTTG